CCCAACCCCCACCCCCGCAAAAATAAAAAAGAAGGCAAATATAGGGGAAATAAGAGCCAAACAGTATGAAGCATGAGTTTTTGAGGCCTCATCAGTTAAGCAGTGGAGAAACACGAGGCAGAGAGACCTCTACGAATAGAACGTTATCACCAGTGTCGAGCTTTTTCTTTCTTTCTTTTATACAAAGACTGAGAACGAGGTTTATTTCTGAAAATATGATAATATCATTTATTTAGTGTGTGCCCGACAAATTACTGCTCTTTCTCCGGAAATAACTGCCCTGCTAATTAGGATAGAGCGTTACAATACACAACAATTTTTCCTGAAAAAAATTAGGCCAAGGACAATTCACGTAGCCCAGCCCACAATACCTCACCTTTTGTTACAGATCACTGCAAGTTTCACTACTATAGTCTATAGAAGAAAAAACAACTACTCAGGTGTGAACGCTGGCATAAGGTCGATGGTAAATAAAGGAAAGAAGGGGGAAGAGAGGCGGCGAAGAAATGATAGCAATTAGAAACATTAATTAAGGAGACTGTGTACTTTGTATTATTGCTAAACGCATTGAGCACTTCTTCTTTTTTTATGTTTGTTACTCTCTTGTAGCACCTCTAATCTTCTGGAGTTCATATGACCTAATGCAGCTGCGAGCGCCGTAAAACCTCTACTAAAACTAAACTAAACTATCTTTGAGGAAATGTGCCATATCAGGAGTGAAATGTATTATTATCATCGATAAAATAAACTAATAAACCACAGAGAGATTTAGGCTGTGTACCTAAAACATCTTTAGTACCCTCAGTTTTTTCAAGTAAAGGTCACGTTCACAACACCAGTGTGCGGACAGACGGACAGCAAACTCTGCAATGTTGGTTGATATAAAAGGGCTACGGTCCATGTATTATTATATTATTATGGTATTTAGTAGGATACATAGTGAATATTCAGGACCCTTTTATAGGATTTCCTCAACGATATCAGCAAATTTTGTATATTATAATAAGATAATTAGTTTTGATTTCCCAATTCCTTTAATAATTTTAATTTATAAATTAACGATCATAATTATTATTATTATCATTATTATTATTATTATTATTATTATTATTATTATTATTATTATTATTATTATTATTATTATTATTATTATTATTATTATTGATAAAGACGCAGTAAAAGCAGTAAGAGCAATAACAATAATCACAGCTATAGGAATAACAACAAAAAACAACAAAAGCAGCAACAAAAAACAACAACAACAACATCGACAATAACAACAACAATAACAACATCAGCAAGACAACAACAAAAACCACAACAACAACGACAACAACGACAACAACAAACAACAACACAATTACCAGCTTCCCCTGGCACCCCCGGAGGTCCGCGCTTTCCGGGAAGTCCCGGAGTTCCGGGTTTTCCCGACGGTCCCCGCGGGCCACGGATCGGCAGCGATACCGGCAGCATTTCGCCTCCTTTGCACGATACTTCCAGTTCGCAGACGTCCTGGAGATCGCCGCTCTGGTCGTCTTCGATTTCAGAGTCCCGATACTGGCCTCGGTTCCGATTTCTTCTCGGCGACCGTTTTGATGACGTCATAGCGAAGGAGACAACAAGGATGATGAGGAGTATGACGTTTTGCCGGGAAGCCATGTTGGAATTCCAAGTGCAGATTATCCTATTTCTGAGGACGAGAAGAAAACACTTTTTGAGAATGGACATTCCGGGTTTTTTTCAGGTTTTTTTCCAGTTGTTTTTTTTAAAAACTCTCTCTATATTATTTTTTTTGGGGGGGGGGGGAGGGGAGGGTTTTTTTTCGTTTGTTTGTCTGTACCATAATTTTTTCATTTTTTTGCGTTTTGCGGTTTTTGTTGTTGTTGTTGTTTTGTTTTTTCACATTGTCTTTGTGAATAGCTCAGGAAAACTGTAAGCCAAATTTATCGAAACCCCATTAACGTACAATTAATTATTGTCAAAATTAGAAAACATGGAATTTTCGTGAACAAAAATATCTTAGGTTTAAATGATGTTGTCGTTCTAGTTAATAAACTAAGCAGAAAACCCCTCCCCCCAAAAAAAGCAAAAATAAAAACAATAACAACAAACAAACAACAACAAACAAAAAAACACACAAAAAACACAAACCTCAATCTACAGCAATAAATGGTGCCAACTGTAGACAGGTTACAGTCTTCTGGTTTGTACCAAATTTTTTCTTACGCCCCCCCCCCCCCTTTCCCCCTGAAAAAAATATTAACTACATTAAAAACATTTTCAAAATCGATGCAATCTAGATCATTTATGAGGCGCGTTTCCAACCCTGCCCTTGGAAGCCAACCCTGGCTAAACGAGACACAACATTCCGGCAGAAAGTCCAAGATACTCTACTCGATAGAAATAATAATCTATTATTTCGCTCCACTCAGGAATCGAACTCGGGTCTCCCTTTGTGCGATAGCGAAGCGCTAAATCATTGCACCACAGACGCCAATTTGCAAGCTGCTGTGTAACCTTTGAATATTCTTCTTTGATAGCCACGTTTTTATTGTCCCCCAGTTCCTGATTTTGGTGCCGATATTAATTGTAGGTTACGTAAAAATGTGCTGAAATGGTGCAAATTGTTATGTTTCAAGAAGAACGAAATAAGATAAACAGAACAAAAAAGAAGTAGAATTGTTTAGTCGGTGAAGATGATGATGATGATGATGATGATGATGATGATGATGATGATGATGATGATGATTGTTTTTGTTTTGTTTCCTTAATAGGCCTGACGGACTTCACGAAGAAATCTTCGAGCGAGAGCGAGGCTCTTTTACGGCTCCATTGTAAATATGCGTAGAGGCACCTCCACTCTGATGATGATGATGATGATGATAACGATGATGATGCTGAGATAACCACTTTACAATTCACAGTCGTATGAGGTTGTACGCACTTCAAGAGACTTAGAATACTTAATTCCAGGACGCCAATTTGAAGTCAAATCTGAAGTTAAGCATTAAAAAAGTAAGATAACATTAAGCACACAGAATAAGATAAATAGTTTTTGTAACCCACGCATTATAGGCCTTCAGTTTAAAGCTCTGAGATTCGGAATTTGATCGCATACGATTGAAATAATTGATAAATTTCGTTCATTGTAGCCTCCTGTAAGCTTTTTCCTTTGACGAGGCAGATCAGAGCAGAAAGGAATTTCAAAAGGCTTTAAGCTACATTCTAAAAATAAAATTGATGACCTTTTCAAGAAGAACGAAATAAGCTTAGAAACTTGCGCCATGACTATGACGTAGCGTAATTTAAGCCGAGCCAATGATTTAAGTCGTACTCGTAGCTGGAATCTCTCACTGAATGAACTGCGCGAACCGCTTAATCGTAAGCGACTGGGGGTTGTTGTTTTGAATGAATCAGTAATTATCCCACTCAGCAGAGCTTAGGACGCTTGGTGAAATATCGACACTCGGCTCTAAGCACCTCGTGATTAGCCTCATGTCTGAAAATGCCTCCGGTCTGAGGGCTATTTTGAGGGCTGCTGACCGATTCATTAATTTTTACGGTCGCCGCAGGTTTTTCAGCAAAGCTTGCGTGGAAGACGTCTGATTTGGGAGATTTTGCTTTGATCAAGTGCATGCAGGCATTATCTCTTTTTCGATCACAAGCTTGCATACGAACACTAACGTTTCAAGTGTAACTTTTTACTTAATTCACAAAGTTCACGAATATGTGGGCATGGGTGCTTAGAGGGTTCAGATGAGAGGCTTTGATCAACTGAAGTCCATCGCTGTCTGAGGTAATTTAATGGTGAGGCTCCTCGCGTTGTCCTCACCAGGCAAAGAGTTCGGTTCACTACCCTATTGCGGAAGACATACTTTTTCTTGTTAACTTATTTTAGTTTTGGTTTTTTGGGGGTTTTGTGTGTGTGTGTGGGGGGGGGGGTAGTAGTTGTGGTGGTAATTTCTGCCGTTACTGTTTAATCGAATGTGTTTGTTTGCTTCCATCAACACAATTTTATCTAGATCACTATAAGACTGAGAAGGCAGGCTTCCGCCTTGTTTGTCAGAGCTAACCCGAACTGAGAGGGATACAATATCCTAGCAAAAACAAGGCACATTCTCGAGAAAAGTTCTCCCCAGGCGGGAATTGAACTCTATGCTCTCTTTACGCGATGGCGAAGGGACTAACCATTGTATTGTGTCACATATTATGTGGGTATGGTGTAACCATTGTATTGTATCACATATTGTGTGGGTATGGTGTAACCATTGTATTGTGTCACATATTATGTGGGTATGGTGTAACCATTGTATTGTATCACATATTGTGTGGGTATGGTGTAACCATTGTATTGTGTCACATATTATGTGGGTATGGTGTAACCATT